TTCAAGGCACGGTACGTTGCTCGTGGCTTCAGTCAGCGGCAGGGAGTTGACTACTTTCAGACCTTCTCTCCCACCCCGAAGATGACCACTCTTCGGGTACTGCTGCACATAGCCGCTCAGCGCGACTACGAGCTTCACTCTCTCGACTTCAGCACTGCGTTCCTGCAGGGTAGCCTGCACGAGGAGATCTGGCTGCGCCGTCCACCTGGCTTCACTGGGACTTTCCCTCCTGGCACCCAGTGGAGCCTCCGACGGCCAGTCTACGGTCTCCGCCAGGCACCGCGTGAGTGGCACGACACACTGAGGACTACACTTGCGGCTCTTGGGTTTGCTCCTTCTACTGCTGACCCGTCCCTGTTTCTCCGCACCGACACTTCTCTGCCGCCGTTCTACATCCTCGTGTACGTCGACGACTTGGTCTTTGCCACAGCGGACACTGCTGGACTCGCCTACGTGAAGTCCGAGCTGCTGAAGAGACACACGTGCACAGACCTGGGTGAACTGCGCAGCTACCTTGGCTTGCAGATCACTCGGGACAGAGCACGCCGCACCATTACCTTGACTCAGTCACACATGGTGCAGCAGGTCCTTCAGCGCTTCGGCTTCACGTACTCCTCGCCTCAGGCCACTCCTCTGCCTACTCGCCACTCACTCTCAGCTCTGCCTTCGGATGAGTCCGTAGAGTCGAGTGGTCCGTATGCAGAGCTTGTTGGCTGCCTCATGTACCTGATGACCTGCACACGACCTGACCTTGCATACCCTCTTAGCATTCTTGCACGCTATGTTGCTCCTGGGAGACACCGACCAGAGCACATGGCTGCAGCGAAGAGGGTATTGCGCTACCTGTGCAGTACGTCGGGCATGGGGCTAGTGCTTGGAGGGCGGAGTCCAGTGGTCCTTACAGGCCACGCGGACGCTTCTTGGGCTGACGACCAGGCTACGCAGCGGTCGTCACAGGGTTACACATTCAGCCTTGGTTCCGGCTCTATCTCGTGGCGGTCTACTCGCTCGTCTTCGGTTCCCGGCTCCAGTTGTGAGGCTGAGATCTACGCCGGGGCCATGGCTGCACAGGAGCTTCGCTGGCTCACCTACCTGCTGACTGACCTTGGAGAGCCGCCTCGTTCTCCTCCAGTGCTGTACGTAGACAACAAGGCCATGCTGGCCTTGTGTCGGGAGCAGCGCCTGGAGCACAGAACGAAGCACATTGCTCTCCGCTACTTCCTTACTCGTGAGCTGCAGCAGCGTGGACAGCTACGGCTTGCGTACGTGGCCTCTGAGGCCAACACTGCTGATGTGTTCACCAAGGCACTCGCGCCTTGTGACCATCAGCGCTTTTGCACCCAGCTGGGTCTTGTGCCTGTCTTGCCTCACTTGCTCTCCTCTTGACTTTACTTGTACTGTGACATATATATACCTGCTCTTGCTTGTCTAGTTTTATATATATGTCTGTACTTCTGCATGTGAACTGGCCTCTGGCCCTGCTCTTGTGCTCGGACTGTGTGGTGACTTTGTGATCCACCCTGAGCTTTGCTTTGCTTTGCTTGACTGGTCTTGTGACCCCTTGTTCTCCCCCACTTTGCCTATGGGGGTGTGTCAAACATTATATATGTTATGCTTGTGTAGGCTACAGTGGGTTAGCCTATAGGAGGTACACAATTCTAGGGTTTACTACTTGTTCTCATTTCAATTTTAGTTCATCCATTCCTGTTCGTTTCTTCTCACATGCTTTCGACGAAGTACCACGTCGACGACACAGTCGCCGGCGAGAAGGCCCGCTTGGTCGTGAAAGGCTTCTCGCAGGTTTACGGCGCAGATTACGATGAGACGTACGCGCCGGTGGGGAGCTACGTAACTCTGCGGATTTTCCTGAGCATTGTAGCGGTCCTCGACCTGCACCTGATGCAGCTCGACATGAAAAATGCGTTTCTGCAGAGCAAGCTGGATCGCGTCCTCTACATGTACCAGCTCGACTACTTCAACGACGGAACTGGCCGAGTCTGCAAGCTGCTAAAGAGCTTGAACGGCCTGAAGCAGAGTCCGCTGTTGTGGTACTCGGCGCTTGATGCGGTACTGACTAGCGCCAATTGGCAGAAAAGCCAGGTCGATGAGGCTCTCTACTTTAAGGTCGGCGACGACGGGGTGGCGTGCTGGGTGCTCGTCTACATCCACGACCTGCTTACTGCAAGCAGCAGCACTGCGATGCTGAAGGAGCTGAAGGAGCTGCTGGAGGCCGCCTTCGAGCTGCGCGAAATCAGCCCGGTCGAGAAGTATCTCGGGCTAGAAATCGTGCGCGACCGTCCTGCGCGGAAGTTGTGGCTTCATCAACAAGTCTACGTCGACAAGTTGCGTTGGCGTTTCGTCGACGACGAGCAGACCGGGTAATTGCCGGAGATGCCGGTCTCCGTCGACGCCTACGTAGAGCTGGTGTTCGACGACGGGAAGTTTCAATCGCGCGAGGAAGCAGAGTACCGGCAGAAGGTCGGCTCGCTGCAATTCGCGGCCACCACGACGAGGCCCGACATTGCCTTGGCTTGCAGCAAGCTCGGATCCGGCCTGACAGTGCGAAGCGACAACCACTGGCGTGAGGTCGATCGCTGTCTGCACTACCTCGCTGAAACTCGTGACGCCGCTCGGGAGTTCGGCGGCGGACCAGAGTCGCTGTTTCTGGTCGGCTATGCAGTGGCAAACATTATATATGTTTCTGTTGTGTAGGCTACAGTGGGTTAGCCTTTAGGGGGGTACATTTCACTAGGGTTTCCTACTTGTACTCCAACAACTTTCTAGTTCACCACTTCTTGTTTCTGACATGCAGATGCCGACGACGCTGGCGACAAGCAGAATCGGACGAGCACGGGCGGCTACGTTTTTGTCTTCGGAGGAGGCGCAGTCTCCTGGGCGAGCCAGCGTATCAAGTGCGCGACGCTCGTCGACCGAATCAGATTACGTCGCGAAGACCGGAGCCGGTAAGGAGGCTCGCCGTCTGCGCTTCCTCCTTGCAAAGTTTCGTCTGCTCGACCCAAGGAAGCCGACTGTTCTGTACGTGGACAACCAGTCGGCGATCACTGTCGCAGAAGGCTTGGGGCTCAAGGGCAACCTCAAGCACATGGAGCGACGCTACACCTGGCTGCAGCAGATGGTGAAGCGCGGGAAGATTGCTCTGCAGTACATCCCGACCTCTGAGCAGCCGGCAGATTTTCTGACGAAGGCGCTGCATTTTCCGGCTTTCAACCGATACTCTGTCGCAATCGGTCAACTGCGTCTAGCCGACACGGGCGACGGGGATAACGCGGTGCAGCAGTAGGTGCCGTGCCCTTTGTGCACGGCTTGTGCGGTGATCTACGTGCTATGTGTTCGGTGCACGTAGAAGGAATTTTCTCCTGGTATTCTATTCCTCTGGGTTCTGGGTGGACCTTCTGTGTGGGTGCCCAATCATGAGCTGGGCAGGGGAGTGTCGAAGAGAAAAGGCCCCGCCCTCGCTTGGGCGAAGTCGACCATGCATTTCGGAACAAGACGGTGTTCGTTTCGTGGTCATCGACGACTTCGGGAACTTTTATCTGCGTGCGACGAGTCGTTTGTCGACGAGATTAATTGGTCGAGGTAGAAGTGTTTCCTCTGCTCAATCAAAGTCCTCGTCTAGAAGGAGCTCGTCGACGGGAGTAAAACGGCGTCGAAGACGAGCCTTTCTGATAGACGGAATTGGCAGAATTCGTCTTTCGACGGATTACTGGTCGACAGAATTTAGTTCGACGAGTGTTTCGTCGAGCAGATCGATTCTGGTCGACCACAATTACTTAGCTCCAAAATTCGCAATGTGGGCGAATTTCGCACGATCATGGAACAGCAAATTTCGACCAATCCGGTAATTTCGGAAATTGTACTCCCCAGGAGAATTCGATTCAGTAAGGAAACTGAATCTGAAACACGTTTTTACTACCGTATTCACCCGGATATACCCCCAGGCCTATGTTACACCCATGCGGTTATAATCGTACTAGTGGGCTTATAGCCAGTTGCCGATTATAAGCCCACCCCAATTTCTGTCAATCTTTGTATAAGCGCACCCAATGAATTCTGATTTTCTTTTTAAGCGAAATCGCCACTAACGCACCTAAACGAATCGTCACAGACGTGCATGACGAATTCCCCCCTGGCTCGCTTGGCAAAATTTCCACAGGAGGTGCACGTGCGCGAAATCTGCAACATTTGACTGGTGCTGACTGGGATTCTTACCTGTATGACACATTCTCGGAACTTTTCAGCATGGAACCTCTTTGTGTTAGCATCGATTTAAATCGCCAGGGTGAAATCCACATTCCAGTGTTATAAAATTAAATTTCCATAAGTGTCATTTATTTAGCCCATGGGGTTATAAAATTTACCACATTATAAGCCCACCCACCATTTTTCCATGTTTTTTTACACCCCCACCTGGGGGTATATCCGGGTGAATACGGTAACAGTAAAAACGTGCACAACTATGAACGTTGTAAACCTGAGCAACTACCAACTCAAGTGAAATATGCATGTGTTTGTCATTTCACCTGCCGTTGCTGAATCGACGGATTCAAGTGCTTGTCGAGGAACGTTTCTACAGGGTTCGTTGTCTTTGCTATTTGATTCTCTTTGCTTGTACCATAATCTTGTCCTATGAACTTTTGCTAATGGAACTATGCTTGAATTCTACCAAGGCAACTAAGTCTACTTCTGAAAATCACTACCAGAACTCTGACCGTGTGTCCCACGCTAACCAAGCTCTCCCGTAGAATAGTATTCTCCGCATAGGGGAGGAGAGGGGGAGAGCGGGAGGCGGAGTGGGGGTAGTCCGTGCAAGGGAAACACTGAACAGAACTGCCTCCTGCGCCCTCGTTGCAGTCTCTGCCGCCTCCTGCTCCTCCATTGCCGCCTTGGCTGCTTCCGTGTCTCCTTGGGTCCGCAGGCGAGTCAGGTCCTGGAGAGAGGCGGTGATACAAGAGGGACGGCAGTAAAGAGGGTGAGGAGGGTTAGAGGTCGACAGTAATCTCTGCTGCCTCCTGCTCCTCCATTGCCGCCTTGGCTGCTTCCGTGTCTGCTTGCGTGCGCAGGCGAGATCGATCCTGGAGAGAGAGAGAGAGAGGCAGCGGCACAGGGGCGGGGGCACGGAGGAGGGAAATAAGGGTTGGACTCAAGTTAGCAGTCTCTGCCGCCTCCTGCTCCTCCATTGTCACCTTGGCTGCTTCCGTGTCCGCTTGGGTTCGTAGGCGAGTCAGGTTCTGGAGAGGCGGCGATACAGGAGGGACACAGGAGGCACTAAAGAGGGTGAGGAGGGTTAGTGGCGGATAGCAGTCTCTCCTGCCTCCTCCTCCACTGCCACCTTGAGTGCTGCCTTGTCTGGTTGCGTGCACAGGCGAGATATGTCGTAGAGAAAGGCAGGAATACAGGAGGGCCATGGGAGGGACACAGATAGAAATTGCGGGTCGAAGCCAAGCCAACAGTCTCTGCTGCCTCCTGCTCCTGCATTGCCGCCTTGGCTGCTTCCGTGTCAGCTTGCGTGCGCAGGCGAGATAGGTCCTGGAGAGAGAAAGGCAGGGGCACAAGGGTGGGGGCACGGAGGAGGGAAATAAGGGTTGGACTCAAGTTAGCAGTCTCTGCCGCCTCCTGCTCCTCCATTGCCGCCGTGGCTGCTTCCGTGTCCGCTTGGGTTCGCAGGCAAGATAAATCCTAGAAAGGGAGGGAGTGACATGGGAGGAACATGGGAGGAACATGGGAGGGACATGGCACTGACACAGGAGGGAACTGAGGGTTGAAGCTAGGCCAACAGTCTCTGCTGCCTTCTTCTCCTCCATTGCCGCCTTGGCTGCCTCCGTTTCCGCTTGCGTGCGCAGGTGAGATAGGTCCTGGAGAGAGGCGGTGGTGAGACAGGAGGGACACGGGAGGCACTAAAGAGGGTGACCGTGAGGAGGGTAAGAGGCGGACAGAGTGCACTCTCAGGCACTGACCTGACCCACAGGGCGAGAGCAGGTAGTCTTTTGAGGCGCCTCAAAAGGGCAGGTAGTGATCGTGACACTGCGCCTTGATCATTGCATGGCCGCACCACCACACATACCCGCATGAGGACAGAGACAGTCTACTCGCAGGCAGATGTCCACAAGGTGAGAGCAGGTATTCGTAGAGGTTACATGGTTACAAGGTCTACTCTACTCACAGGGAGGGGGCCACTCTCAGGCACTGACCCACAGGGCCAGAGCAGGTAGTCGTAGAGGTAATGGTCGGGGCACTGTGTCTTTCCCTACGCATGCCCACACACATACCCACAAGCCCATAAGGCTACATGGTTCTACTTCTCACAGGCAAGGGACCGGTGGGTGACAGCAGGTAGTCGTAAAGTTAATGGCACTGTGTCTTGCTCTTTGCATGGCCACATGCACACAAGCACACATGCACACGAGGCTAAATGGTTCTACTACTCACAGGTAAGGGACTGGTGGGTGACAACAGGTATTCGTAAAGGTAATGGTTGTGGCACTGCGCCTTGCTCTTAAACTGGCAGGTGGGCAGAGGGTCTACTAGCAAGGTGTGGGTATGGTAAACTCACATGTAATGGACCGGTGGGTGAAAGCAGGTAATCGTAAAGGTAGTGGTCGTGGCACTGTGACTTGCTCTTTGATCCCACGTGCTCCACAATCTCCCCCCAGTTGCCCATTCCGTACATCTCCAGCGCCTGATGTGTGCAAGGGGGGGAAGGACAGGAGGCAGGAGGAGAGAGAGAGGAGCATTGCAAAGGAGATGCAGGCAGCTGTGCCATACTGCTCTTGCACCCCACGTGCTCTGCAATCTCCCCCCAGTTGCCCATTCCGTACATCTCCAGCGCCTGAAAGGGAGGCGTAGGGAAAAACGGAAGAGGCACATCAAACGCACATCAGAAGGAAGGTCGGGAAAAAGGTCCGGGGCGATAGGGCGATCAACACACATGCCACCAACGCCCAGTAGCCCAGTTTTAAACTGCCATGCCATGCACCTACTGCCATGCCATGCACTTACTGCCATGCACCTACTTCCATGCCATGCACCTACTGCCATGCACCTACTACCATGCACCTACTCCCATGCCATGCACCTACTGCCATGCACCTACTGCCATGCACTCGCTGCCATGCTAGGTTGACCTTCAATGACATCCGACATATCGCTGCCACGCACTTCATGGCATAAACAAGTTACTTTTAACAGCCCTTTTTCAACTTCTCACCCCCTCCCACCCCCCCCCGCCCCCCCTCAAGCAGTCCGTGTACTAGATCCGAGCAAGGTACAGACATGTACAAGGGTATAGAAAATAGTGCAACTCAGCTACAAAAACCCCCACGTCCTACCCACTCCCGTTCTTCCTCTAAGGCAGCTCCAATGCTGGCTCCAGGATGGCAAAGCAGTCCCCAAGGGACATGTCTTCGCCCGGGAGCCACACAGGTGGGTTCTCCGCTTGAGCCGCATAGTTGCACTTTGTCATGAAGCTCACTGACTGCGCCTACTGCAGCGCCACGGACCACCGCTGGCGGAAATTATGCAGCAGCTTTGTTGCCTGGTAAGATGAGGGGGGCGTGTTGAAGAACCTGCGGGCGGCGGTGTCAGCTAGAAGCTTGAGGTATTGAGGGACCTCCGCGCAACGGCAGCCATAGGTATCAACGGCAAGTGGGAAGAATCCGACCCACGAGGTCGTTGAGCCCTCGTGGTCGGAGATTTTCTTCTCTGCCGCCTCCCGTGCGGCCCACCCCCTGCCTTTGACCGCGTTGGGGTCTCGCGTGCTAATGGGGTCCGTGATGGTCACGTCCCCAATCCAGACGGCACCTGAGGATTTGTCCCGGATGGCTATGTCGGCCTTCTTCCTGGTGACGGGGCAGAATGCAGTCGTCTCGTTGTGAGTCATGAAGTCCTTCTTCCTGGTCACTGGCCATCCGCAGGCACTCGTCGTGCAATTCATTGTGCTTGTTGGTCCTGCCCTTCCCCGTGTCGCATCGCAGAAGGTGGTTGGGCAGCCTCCTGTCAGGGATTGACGTCTCATTGCGGCAGTCACAGGCACCAGGTGCCGAGGAGGGCAGCCCCAACCGGAACTGCAACGCGTGGACAAAGTGGTCTGGGGCAAGGCGCAGTGACTGGTTGAAGGGGACCGCGTTGAGCCAGTCCCCTGCCCCGTACCCCGAGAGCGAGAGCATGCGTTGTGTGTGCACGCTGACTGGGTTGAGAGGCATGATGCGCGTGGCTTGCACCTACTCGGCGTAGCGCTGTCCGTGTACCGCAATCGTGAGCCCATGCTGCAGCTTGATGCCTTTGGGATTGACCCGGTCAGTTTGCAGCAGCTCTTTCCCATCGTCTGGTAGTGACTATTCGCACCTCTCCAGCCAGTCAATGAGGGGGGACGTGTTGACGAAGGGCCCAACCATCTGGACCCTTGTTTCTGTCAAGGCGCCAGCCGCAGACTTGTCGATGGAGGTGAGAAGGTGTTGCGCTTGCGTGTAGCTTGCGAGGAACCCAACACACCCTTCCACCGAGGGGTCTGCAAGACCCAAGCCTCCAAGCGAGATCGGAAGCGAGGCTTGGGCCCAGGTGCGTGTGATCTCGGCCTCCCCCCGTGGGTGACCGATGCCGCAAGCCGTCAGGAGCATCTCAAATAGCCTCTTACCCCAGTCTGACCACTCCTCAACTAGCAGGGGAGAGAGTGGTGTGGTACGTGCCATGTAAGACACCCGCCGTGATATGCAACGGGTAAGTAGTAGCGATGCCAACTGCGGCTCCATCCAAGCGATTAAGGGCAGGGGGCCGCCCATTGTGTCAAGGCTCTCGCGCAAGAAAGCCGCGGTTGCGTCGTTGCCACCGATGAAGCTGCCAAGCACCTTCACCCCATCATCCGTGAAGGGAACGCCCTGGGGAAGTGTTGCTCCCTGTTGGCCCATATGAGACCATGCCGCGCATTTGGCCGGGTTGTGGCGCAGCCCAATCCCCCCAAGATTCCCAATGAAATTCTTGAATGCGGCTGCTGCTTCCCCAAGAAAAGTGACATCGTCCGCAGAGGCCAGGCAGACCACAGACGGGAAGGCGAGCGCCGAGCTTGTCAACGCTGGGTGTACAGCGGCGGCAAACAGCAGCGGACCAAGGGGATCCCCTTGCCGCACCCCAGTTTCGCTCCGAAGAGGTGGGTGTGAAAAGCCAGCGTCCAGGCATAGAGCCGAGGGAAGGCCGTATGACAGCTTAACTGGCGGCAAGAGTGAGGCTAGGGAGGATCCCCGAAGAGATGCAGCGATGGCCGCCCAATTAACGCTGTTGAACGCGTTCGCGAGGTCAGCCTGCAGGGCAAAGGCCCCAGGGTTCGCCATGAGGTATGTGCGTGTGATGTGAATAATCGCCTCTGCCCCTCCAGGAACCGCCACGCCGAACTGGTGAGGAAGGAAGAATTCTCGAGCGGCGCCCGGGGTCAAAGTAAGCGCTGTTTTAGCCGTGAGGCGTGTGATGCTCTCGCCAATGGCTATCGGCCGCGTCCCCCCATCGGGCTTGGTAAGTGCAATTAATCGTGACGCGGTGAGGAGTTCAGCTACTGCAGGAGGGAGTTTTCCTGTAAGTATCGTGTTGATGAGAGCATGCAGGTGTTTTCCCACGGAGGAGTTGATCAATGCTGCATCGCGTAAGTGTTCAAAGGTTGTTCCAGAGGGGCCAGCTCCAACTCCCATCTCACAGCTTCCCAGCACCTTGGAGAAGACCGCAAGCGGTGCAGAGGGGAGGGGGTCCGGTTTGGGGAATGTCCAGTCTGGTGCAGCGGTGGGCACAGGTGGGTGCTTGGCGTGGAGGGCTTCTAGCACTGCTGGAGAGGGTACACATACTGGTGTGGCTTCAAGAGCCATCACGGCCCGTCGTAAGCTGCCACGTCGCGCCAACCCCTCCTCCCTAGCAATGACGCCAATATCATCGGGCAGATGTCTCGGGGGCTGGGGCCATGTCAGATAATCCACTGTTTCAGTGTGCAATTTGTCCCATCCTCCAGACAGGTTCTGACGAAGGCGAGCGCTGACAGCCTTCCAGTTAAGGCGTCTAGGGGACAGCTGTCGAAGTGTCATTCACGCGAGAAACAGGAGGGCCGTCCGTGCAGGAGTTGAGTCCAGATATTTCGACAGGCGCAGCAGCGGCACCAACAGGGCTGTGGCGAAAAGTCTGCGTGGGTCTGGTGGGAGATGGCGGGAGAGAGGTGCGCAGCGAGAGTCGCGTAACTTTGTCAGATCCCAGGTCCCTACGCTAGCGAATAGCGTATCATCCTTGGCCAGGGTTTCAGAAGATTTTTCCTCTTGTTGGTTTGGGACGGGGTTACCGCCAGGGCAGGTTGCCGGGCAACTTGGGTAGGGGTCTGGATGTGGGAAGTCGGGGTTGGGATTGCTGGTGTGGCAATGTTGCCCGAGGCGGCTCGGGTTGGTGTTGGGGGACCCCTCCGAGCGGATCTCACAACTGAGGAACCCCCCGCAGTGTGAGCTGATGTTGCCCTGCCTGCTCGAGCAGGAGTCTGAAGCTGCTCGTCATCCACGGACTCTGAGCTAGAGGTCGAGTCCATAAACTCCGCATCTACAAGTCTACTGTCTGAAAATGGTGGTTTCATTATTGTTGCTCATCTCGTTTAATGCCCGCAGTCCCACCTGCAGGTACACGTTTTTTGGTCCACCTCCTCGTGCTCGCTCGCCGAGTCCAGCTGCTCTCCCTCCTCGGTCCGCAGTACGTCCTCCGCCGCGTCGGCCGCTTGCTGATCGTGCGCCACCCTCCCGTTGATCCGATGGATCCGCTTGCCGCTCCTGGCCGCGGATATTCCACGGTGAGCGAACTCGCTCCTCGTCCACTTCCTCCCGCGCGTCCTGCCTCAAGCGTCCCTGTTGCTCCGCTGGCTGCTGCTGATCAGATCCGGCGCCGCTTCGAGGATCAGCGGCGCGGACAGGCGCCTGCGCGCATGGAGATCGTTGTGCGCTCCGGCGCGGTGGCTGCGGCGCACCGGGAGCATTCGCCTCGTCACCATTCAACGGTGGTGCGTGGCGGCGGGCGGGAGAGCCGTTGTGTGGAATGTCACGCCGAGCCTCGATCTCCACGGTCGCTGCCATCGCCACGTTCGCCTCGCCGCGGGGCATCGAGGAGCCGATCTCGAGACTGTCGGTCACGTTGTCACCATTCACCCGGTCGCCATTCGATGCGTCACCAATCGCCTGCTCCTCACACCTCTCGCCATTGGTCCCCGTATGCACGTTTGCCGCGGCCGTCAAAGCGCCAGTGGCTCTACTCTCCTCGTCACAGGGGCCGATCTCGAGACCGCAATCACCCGCACGCTCGAATGCAAGTGGCTGTGCACGCCAGCGCATGCCGTCTCGCCCGCAATCGCCCGCACGCTCGAATGCAAGTGGCCATGGGCGGCGGGGGGGCTATGGTCGAGGCGGAACAGCGCGTCAAGCAACGTCCGCAATGGAGCGCGTTCTCCAGAAATTGGAAGGCGTGGAAAAGGCGCTCCACTCCTCGATCGCGGAGTCGTCTTCTCACACAGCGCCCCTAGCTGTACTTGTCGCTCCCCTCGCTGCTCTCCTGCCGCACGACCCAGTGGGGTCTCTGGTGCGTCCTGGCCGTCCGCTGCCCGCAGGAACTGGCTTCGTGGGCACGGGTGGAGGGGATCCCTGGGCCCACTTTGCTCCGCCCCGTCCTCGTCACCCCCCGCGAGATCTCGCCGTGTCGTCTCGTCATGCTCGCACCGCTGTTGTCCTTCAGCCAATGAAAGAAGTGCCCACGGCGACCCTGACTCACTTGTGGTCGCTGGTGGAGTGCCTGCAGAGTCTTGAGCTGATTCTCTAGGAGTCGCATGGCTCCATGTTGGAGACCCCACCGAGCACGTTCTCTCAGATGCCGCGAGCAAGGTGTCACGTGGCAGCGTCAGCACTATTCTCGTACGTATCGCCACTACAGGTTGCGCCCTCGCCGGGAGTAGTCTCGGCCACCCTCCTAGCTGAGAGGGCCCTGGATCGGAGGACGCTTGTAGCAATGCGTGGAACTCCCGTTGACGTTGTCGGCACCACCGCGTCAGTGGTCCGCCAGATGTGGCAGACCACGCGCGAAATGATTGGTGAGCTTGAGGCGGACCGCATGTAGGCGCCCCCCTTGCACGGGTGTAGACCCACTCCATGCTTTCTTGTCTAGTTGGTGCTGCTTCCCCTTGATGTAGCCATTTGCTTACCTACTACCTTTCTCGACTTGCCACCGCTAGCGCGCGGCCGAAGGCCGCGCACGCGAGCGCCGGCGCGAAGCGCCAAAATTTTCAGTTTGGACTGAAGAATGAGAGTGAATAGGCCACGAGGGCCCTTAAGTACTCATGGAAGAGGGCTGAAGGCTGAGGGTGAAGGGTAGAAGGGGGAGAGGCTAATCCTCTCTCTCTCGCTCCCTCGAACGAACAACGCTGAAATTTTCAGTATGAACTGAAGAATGAAATGAGAGGCTAATCCCCCCCCGTCTCTCTCAGTTAGAAGTTTTTTGTTTTGTTTTTTGTTTTTTTTGTCAACACAATTATTTTTAATGCTAAAATAAAACAAACACACGAAATATAACAAATACTCACCTCGAGCAGCAGCATCTCCTCGTCAGCAGTCCAGTCCCCACAGACGAGAGGGAAGCTCATCGTGTCCTTTTGAACAACATGTAAGCTGGTTGGCTCTTTCTACAAAGGAAGAACCGTAACGGCAAGCAAGGCAGCGTGGCTCACCTCGAGCAGCAGCATCTCCTCGTCAGCAGTCCAGTCCTCACGGACGAGAGGGAAGCTCATCGTGTCTTGGTGGTGTGGGTTGGGCACAGTAAGAATGCGTCCATGCAGACTGGCACTTACACGTCAACTCAAAGTGGCATGTGTTTAGGAGCAGGCTGACACAGGCAAAGGACAGAACAGTGGACAGCATGTCTTTATCGCAGCTATCCATTCCCCCCCACTCCCCTCCCGTCCCCCTTCCCATCACACTCACCACCCTGAGCTTCCCCCTCCCCATCCCCTCCCTGTCCCTCTCCTCTCTTCATCACCCTCTCCCTCCCCTTCCCCCCCCCGCTACCCCCTCCCACTCCCCCTCTCCCTCTCCCTCCCCACTCACCATGATGAGGTAGGGGTGGGAGGGCTTGTGGGGTTGAGCAGCAGCACCCTTTCTTCCTTACCTTCCCCGTCCCATTTCATCTCACATTCCCCCTCCTCCCACCTCAACTAACCATGACGTGGTAGGGGTGGGAGGGCTTGTGCGGGTGAGCAGCAGCACCTCCTACCGCTTCCCCCTTCTCCATCCGTTTCCCCCCACAACCCCCCCCCTCTCTCTACCGCCTCCCCCTCCTTCTTCCCCCCCACCCACTCACCATGCCGTGGTAGGGGTGGGAGGGCCTGTGGGGGCCTGCTGCTGCACCTGCGCCTTCCCCCCCCGCTCCTGCGCCTCCCCCCCCCCCCCCCCCCGCTGCTACCTACCCCCACGGCGTCCTACCAGCTTGTGGTGGCATAGCGGCGGCGCTTTGGTCTGGGGGAAGGGGACGGGCCTGGGGGGAAGGGGGGGGGGGAAGGGAGGGGGGGGATTTGGGGAGGAAAGGGACAATGAGAGGGGGAAAATTTCCCCGCTGCTACCCCCTCACGGCGTCTTGCCAACTTGTGGTGGCATAGCGGCAGGGGAAGGGGAGGGGGAGGGGGAGGGGGAAGCGAGAATGGGAAGGAAAGGGAGGAAAAGAGGAAGGGGAAACCTGAGCTTTCCCTGCTGCTTCCCCCGTTTCCTGCACCAGCAACATGCCATACAACACAGTACCCCCCTCACATATATGATATATCCTCCATTAGGACGAAGATGATCCTCCTCCCTCCGTATTCCGTATTAGCTCACCCGTTACTAGCACCAGCAACATGCAATACAGCTTACGAAGCACCACTTACCAACCTGGCTGGACCCTCACTAGTGGCATGGTCCTCCTCCCTGCTTATTCCCTAGTAGCACACCCGTTAGTATCAAATCTCAAGTGTAGTACCAGAAGCGCAGTCCTCCTCCCTGCGTCTTCCCTTGTAGCTCACCCGTTACTAGCATCAGCGCACACAGTACCCTCTCACATGGAACCCCCACTAGGCGCGTGGTCCTCCTCCCTGGCTCCCCTCGACCGACCCATATGGAGCCGAGCCTCAGAACCGGAGGCTCGGAGAGACTACGAGGCTTGGAGTGTCAAACTCTTATGCTATAGTCTGTGTAGACTATATGGGGTACAACACTTCTAGGTTTTCCTACTTGTACCCACCTGCTTGCTAGTTCATTCATTCCTCATTCTTCACATGGTATAGAGACGGTTCCCTAGTGGGAACGCTTCCTTGGGCCCACCACTGAAAATTTCCTTTGTGACCGGAGCGCCAGTCGCTCCTGCCCGAGGCGCACCTTTTTTTTGCCGCCCTTTCCAAGGCCCCCAGTGGCCCCTAGCGGCCTCGTTGCCGCCCCTCACGCGGCCCCGTTACCGCCCCTACGCAGCCCCGTCGCCGCCCCTCGCGGCCCCTTCGCCGCCCCTATGCGGCCTCGTCGCCGCCCCTAGCGGCCACATCGCCGCCCCTATCAGCCCCGTCGCCGCCTCTCACCCTACGCGGCCCCGTCCCCGCCCATACGCGGCCCCGTCGCCGCCCCTAGCGGCCCCATCGCCGCCCCTACCAGCCCCGTCGCCGCCTCTCACCCTAAGCGGCCTCGTCGCCGCCCCTAAGCGGCTCCGTCACCGCCCCTAAGCAGCCCCGTTGCCGCCCCTACGCGGCCCTGACGCCGCCTCTAAGCGGCCCTATCGCCGCCACTACACGGCCCCGTCGCCGCTCCCCTCCCTAAGCGGCCCCGTCGCCGCCCCTAGCGGCCCCAACGCCGCCCCTACAGAGCAGCCGAGCAGCAGAGCCGACGAGCCGCCCAGCAGCTGAGCCACCGAGCAGCCCAGTAGCCGAGCTGCCGAGCTGCCGAGCTGCCCAGCAGCCGAGCCGCCGAGCCGCCCAGCAGCCAAACCGCCGAGCCGCTCGACAGCCGAGCCGCCCAGCAGCCGAGCGCTGAGCAGCTGAGCCGCCCTGCCGTCGAGCCGCTCCTCGTCCTACCGGCGCGCCCCTACCCTACTTACTCGGACTGGTGAGCTCACTCCTTGCTAGGCCACTGCAGTCATGGCTACCCCCAGTGTTCTTACCTTTGATACTGAGGGTCGTGCTGTTGACTTTGAGGTCTGGGTCGATGACCTCCAGCTGTTCCTCCAGTGCGATAGGGCAGACGGCCTCTCCCTGTTCGACCTCACCTCTGGTGCCTCCCCTGCCCCGCCTGCTACTGTTGACAGCACTGTTCGCTCACAGTGGGCGACACGCAATGCTTCTGCCCGTCTTGCTGTAAATCGCCACTTACCGACCACTGAGCGTGCGCACTTTAGCCAGTACAAGAGTGCTCAGACCTTTTACGACGCTCTAGTTGCACGCTACTCTTCCCTTGCCCCAGATGCACTGAGCCGCCTCATGCTACCGTACCTGTTCCCTGACCTTGCTGTCTTTCCCACAGTCGCTGACCTCATTACACACCTCCGCACTAGTGACACTCGCTACCGCGCTGCGCTTCCTACTGAGTTCTGCGCCAAGAACCCCCCCCCCCCCCCCCATGTACATCACCCTCTACTACATAGTCACCCGGCTCCCTAACTCTCTTCGCTTAGTCAGGGACCACTTCCTCTTAGTTTGCCCCACCACACTCACCGTTGACCTCCTCGAGGAGCGCCTCCTAGCAGCCGACAAGAGCATAGTCGCTGTAGGAGCCTCTCGTGGTGACCCTCGCACCCCCGTATTTGAGGGGTGTTACCCCTCCCCCCTCTTGCCCTCTGTTGCTTCTACTGCTGCGGCCGACCTCGTTGGTTTCAACGGGGTCGCCGCTGCGTCTGCCCCTAGCGGGAGACGCCGCACCGGCAAGGGCAAGGGGGGCAAGGGAGCAGGAGGGGCTAGCGGGGGCGGTGGAGGTGGTGGTGGAGGCAGTGGAGGGGGTGTGGGTGGTGGTGGGAGTGGTGGCGGGGGTGGCGGCGGCGGTGGCAGTAGTGGAGGCGCAGGAGGCGGCGGTGGTGGCAGAGGGAGCGGAGGCGGCGGAGGTGGCGGAGGCGGCGGAGGTGGCGGAGGCGGCAAAGGCGGCGGAGGCGGCGGCGGCGGCGGCGGTGGAGCTGGTCGCGACTCTGCGCAGAGGAGTGGGTCCGGTGGTGGTCCGCGCCAGCAGCAGCAGCGCAATCGTGAGACCTTGTCCCCTCAGCAGCTTCGTGAGTGGTACACTGCACGTCAGCGCGGTGGGGGTACTGGTCCTTGCACTTACGTCCTCCGTACCGGCGACCGCACTGG